AGACTGAAATGTCTAAACGCGGAATGCCAGATATTGAAAAATATTTCAATAAAAATTGTTAATTAATTACCATAGAACAAACCTTGGGTCAGGTATATGCATTTCTTTAGTATTAAATTATTAAAAAAAATAAATAAATAGAGGTGGTAAACTTAGTCCGTTACTTCTGTTTAAAAGCTATTTCAGTCCTCTTTCATATATTCAATTTGGATAAGCGGTTTGCTTATTATCCGGAAAGGCAATACCAAAAAAAAAAAAAATATAACTGAAAGTCCTCTCAACTTGTGCAGTTAATCGAAAAGAATTTACAATTTTGTCAAATTTCAAGTTTTTCAAGTTGGTCGTCTCGAGCGAGTAGTCATATAGTGGCGCAGGCTTGATTTACGAACCTTTAAAAAGTTTTTATTAAATTCAATGTCCCAATTTGTAAATTCAAGTAATAAAAGCACATTGTTAAAAATTACTGACCTTTACCTAAATCACCCAATTTACTCACCTAAATTATTTCTTCCGCATCCGCGAATGTTAGCTTTTAAACATCCGCATCCGCATTCGCATCCGCGGATGTCTAAAATTCCACATTCGCAACATCCCTACTTCGTATATAAGAATTTGAGAAAAAACACATTTAACGGAAAAATACATTTTTTTTAATAAAAAAAAATATATCTTAAACAAAAAAATTATTAACCGATTTTTAAAAAATTGGCATCGCTCTTAATGGGATTAAACCCCCCTTTTGTCTAATATGCATATTTGAATACTTCGTATATAAAAATTTTAGAACAAAACACTTAAAAAGAAAAAATTCAAATTTTTTCTTGTAGCTGTTAAATAACGTTCTGTTGAAGTTAGAACTTTTTTGTATCGATACATAGTGATTTGAAATTAGGAAAACCGAATGATGCCGGACTTTTCTTCACTCCACCACGGCTGTACGAATTTATATAAATGAAATTCGTGGGCTTACCAGAAATATAGTAAAAATTCATCCCACCCAAAATTAAATATCTAATTTAAACATTTTGGTCCAACAGTTTCTCCAACAATCCACATTTACGATTTGTACTGGCACATTCATCGGCTAAGACTATGGTTTGGTGGTCGTTTGCCGCCTTAAATAACCGAACGAAAATATTATGTCCATGAGAAGTTCCCTGGTGGCAACAATGATCCGGGTCTATAGTGAATGTGCCCTAGAAACTTTATCTTAAAGGTGGTGGCAGTTTCAAAATGAATGCGTATCCTTGTTCAACAGAAATACAATATACATAAATAGACTGAGATGAAATACCTTAAAAGCCAGTTTCGCGAAAGTAATTTAAGTGAAAATTTATTATTTTCGGTCAGGTTCTATATTAAATTCAAATAAAAAAATAAATTTTCATTAAATTGCATTCATGAAACTGGCTTTTAAGGTATTTCGACCGGTGGTTATTTGAGATTTTCCACTGCACAACTGTACCCTGATATAGTAAAATATAGCATTGACACATTAAGTTAAACTTTTGGCAAATAAAATTAATCTTTTGGCTAATAAATTTAATCTTCTGGCAAATAAATTTAATCTTTTAGCAAATAAATTTAACCTTTTGGTAAATAAAATTAAACTCTACTGTAGTACTAAACAGTGTTTGAAAAAGTAAAAAAAAATACACTAGAAAACTGCTGTTACTCTGCTAGGAAAGAATTTTTTTTTACTTTTGACGCCTAGCTTTACTGCACCAATATCAAGAGTTAAACTGCAGGATAACTGAAAAGTGTTTTTTGGTTTTTCTGTTCTGTTGATTTCACTGCTCACTTCGAAAATGTTTTCTTTTTTGGAAATTTGAAGACATAAATACATTTTTTTTTGTACCTGCATTTGAAAATATATTAAGGGAGAAATGTAGTATTTTAGATGTTTTTTATCCCATTTGGCCAGAATGCGTGGTTTGGTTGAACGAAAGTGTGCCAGATAGTTTGACGAATATTTGAAACTATGCTGTGAGAGAACTGTTTGAAAGTGAGCAGTCAAATGAACAGAACAGAAAAACCAAAAACACTTTTCAACTATCCTGCCGGTTAACTCTTGATATTGGCGCAGAAAAGCTAAGCGGAAACGAGGCAGCGGACGAACTAGCAAGGAGCGGCTCCGCACTGGATGTGTCCCACGCGGTGGACATGGGCGCCTCGCTCAGGGAGATTAAGACAAAAATTACCGAAATTTATCATTCGAAGGCCAGGCAGAGGTGGAACTGCACAGGATCCTACAGAACTGCCCGGCAGTTCTTGGTGTCCTACGAAACACTCAAAACCAAAGCTCTCTTAGGAATGAGCAAAACAAATGCCTACAAACTTACTGCAGTGTGCCAGGGCACTGGCCCGTTGGGGTACATGCCGAAACCTTCAATAGGTTCTGTCGCAGCTGCGGTGACCCGGGCTCAAAAGAGACAGTCGAACACTTGCTGCGCGAGTGTCCAGCCCTCGCAAGGATGAAGCTAAAGACACTCGGCAAACCATTCCTGCAGAATATTTCAGAGTGCAGCTGCCTCTCCCTGTATGACGTACTGAAATTTATTAAAGCCGCCAAGTGGCTGTAGGTTGCACGAGTTGTGGAATCAAAATGGCAAACTTGCTAATTGCTTGTCACCTGAGTGACGATCCACGTAAACCAACCAACCGACCAAAGCTAATCGTCAAAGGTAAAAAAAAATCTTCACTAGCACAGTAGTTTTTTAGTGTATTTTTTACTTTTTCAAACCCTCTTTAGTACTACAGTAGAGTTTAATTTTATTTGCCAAAAGAATAACCTTTAATTAGGCGCATAAAGAAAATCACACAATTAGTCGCATGGGGTCTCCAGTGCCCCAAAGAAGTGTTGAAAAAAGAGTTTTCAAAATAAAATAAACGAAGTGTGTATTGACAAAAATATTAAAGTACTCTATTAATGTTAACTTAAAAAAAATACATAATTTTGACTTCAAACTAAAAAAAAATAAAAAAAAATTTTACGTTAGTAGGCGCATGGGGTCAGCACTCAAGCGCATAGCGACACATGTGTACACGGCGATGTTCTAACCGTAACTAATTAAATAAAACGAAGTGTATATTGTCATAAATATTAAAGCTCTTTATTATAGTTAACTTTAAAAAAGAAAAGCATAACTTCAAACAAGATACAAAAATAAAAACTAAAAATGTTACGTAAGTGGCCGCATGGGGCCGGGCTTAAAAGAGTACATAAATAAATAATAAATTTTTTGTCATTTCAATGCTTAGTGAAAATTCGGCATAAGGAAAAACATTAAACAAAAGAATTGTCAATTTTTTTTTAGTTTAATGTAGAATAATTTCTAAAAATGTTATTCTAAGAATAATTTAAAATATACATATCTATGTACGTAAGAAAATAAAACAAACATGCATATATAATGTATCTAAGATAGTAGAAAACCAAAAAATTGCGCGTATTTTAGCTAATATCAAATTTGAAAAATTATTTGTTATCTTTAAATGCTCTTAATTTACTCTAAAATATTTATTCAAATTGACCCTTAACCGTGCTTCATAGTTTGCCCAACCAAAACCTCTGCCTGCTGAACTTGTGTTGTGTTTGCAAAATGTGCTTTTATAAACCAATAATTATACTCAATAGCTTGGAATCCTAGCTTTGTAAAAAGCTTGGTCGATGCCTCATTTGTGTCCTCAATGTGAGCCATAGCGTCGTGATCTTGGCCGGCCAATGCACGGCACATTTGCCTTACCAGAACCTCAGCCAGACCGCGTCTCCGATAAGGGGCTTTGACATACAAAAATGCTATTGTGCCCAGTTCGCTACTGTTTTGGATAGAAAATTTCAAATATTTGTAGAGTGAGCTAATTAAGTGCATCTTTTGCATACGTACTACAATACCCAAGCGCACAATTCCCCGCTGTCGTGATGGTAAGCACCTAAAGTGAGATTGTATTTTATGTTGCGTTCGACGATATATTGAGTGCCGAGTCCTTTATATGGCCAGAAGTCATTAACTTCTTCGGCATCTGTCAACTTGAGTGGTTGTATAATGAAATCTGAACATTGTCTAAGATTGAAAATGGTAAAATGCATTAAGAAAGTTTAAAATTTATGCACAAAAATAAGTGTTTGCCCTCACTTCACTTCAAGTTTGAGACAATCTTTCTTGCTCAGGTGATATAATCTTGCTGGATAACATTCCTCTAGGTTCGGTGTATACCCTAACTGCTCGATATACTTTTTAACAGCTGTACAAGTTTTATCGCGAAAAAGTAGCTCAGTATAAGGTAATGCATCTAAATAATCTAAAACCAACTGATAAAGTGTGATATATTCCGGGGAACATACATCCGCTCTGACTGTACGTGCGAAGTTCGTGCGATCCTATTAAAGGAATTTTAGTTTTATGACGGACCAATCTCTCACCCTTCAGCCGTTTACCTGTAAAATGTAAATTCCATGCTCCCGCCAATTATCATCCACGCTCCAAATACGTACTTCTCGTTCGCATAGTTCAGGGTCTTTGCGCAACCAGTTTAGGTAGTTTTCCAATGCATAGTAACTGTAAACATTCAAGGGCCAGTCTCGGCGATAAACATCGCGCAATGCAGTCCACTCTGTTGCAGCTATTGAAACTAACTTTCCACAGTTGTTGGCACTCATTTTAATGTACAAGGGCTAACGTTTGAGTTTCGACTGAAACTCTTTTGTAATAACTGGGTATCGCAACGTTAGTTACATGATACGTAAAATTACACAATTTTTAGTTGTATCAATAGATAAGCTAAGTTTGTTAAGAACCTATGTGAAATGCATTAAGTTGTTGTTAATTTCAATTAGCTTAAAAGCAATTCGGCGAGACGGTTCCAAAAGGTTTATCTAAACTTACAAAAAAATTCGTTTTCACAAGTGCGAGCACTTACGTGGAATTAGTGATAGTGCTTTTAAGAGAAGTATCGATACCAGTACTCATTTAGAATACTCTAAAGAAGAATCGATTCCAGTACTCATATTTGCAAAAAAGTATCGATAATATTCGCTTTTTTATGTCCTCTTCCTATTTGTAAATTGAACAGATATTGCTTTTATTAATTGAAATCTGATCGAACAAGCATTTAGAAAGGAGTTTTTGGAGGAAACTTACAATAAATTTACTTCTACAAGCTTAAAATAAATGTTTATAGCAAAAAGTTTATTTAAAGATTTTAAAGGCAAATATTTTATTTACTTTGAAAATGAAATAGAAATGTAGAAAACGAGAAAAAATTAGGCCCTGAGAGCAGAAATGGCCTAACCCAAAATTATTTTTTTGATAATTTTCTAATTAAAATAGTCTCAAATTTGGTGAATTGAAAAATAAAAGTCGCTCGTTCCTTAATTTCAAGGTGCAAAGCGAACCATTAAATTAAGATATAAGTGACATTTATATGAGAATTTATCACATTTGAGACTATTTTAAGAAGTCTACCCAACTACCAAAAGGAAAATTGTGTGTTAGGCCACTTCAGCTCTCATGGCCTCAAATGTGGTGAAGCCCATTTTTGCACTATTTATTGGTTTTTATATATTTATTTGATATTTTTCACATTTCTACATTTCATCAACGATATTTAAACTCAAAACTTTACAGCTGTTTTTCTCGAGCTTTTGGTTTTTTGAATTATGACAGCATTGAAGTAAATAAGTGTTAATTTTCGAACATTCGCCATAATGTTTGTTGGATAATTTTTAAAAATTTTTCAATGAAATTTTTTATGTAATGTTTAATTATTATTTTTTCTTAAAAAGTTTTTAACAGGTCGATTCATTTTGGCATTCTCGATATTTACTCAGTACTTATCAAAAAGTATCGAGCTCTCGATACTACTCAGTACTCTTGAAAAGTATCGATATACCGTACTCGGTACTCGTATCGTTCTATCACTACGTGGAATTTATTTCTAGTTCATAAAGAGGGTGTAGATAGGGATCAAACGATACTAGTAAATACAAGTACATTCTCGATACTTTTCGTTCGATACCAAGCAATTTTGGTATCAATAATTTTGAACAAAGTGTTGAGTAGGTATCGAAAAAAATACTCGCATCGAAACCCAATACTAAGGCAAATTTTTCTTCGGAAACCGGCGAAAACCGCAAGAAGACGTAAAAGTCGATATACAGTGAAACCCGCTTAAGTACGTATACTCAAAAAACATTTCTAGTAAACAAAGTTTGAAATTATAATGAATTTTTTTTAAGTGTTCTACAAAATCTTAAGCTTAGGTTTATATGGTATTTGTTAGGGAATGAACCGCATTTTAATTGAATGAAAAATCTTAAAAATTAATAAATAAACATAAGTGGCAAACAATATCAATTTGAATTTGGTACAAAATGATATGTCCAACTTTGACTTTTTAAACAGTTTAATTCTTGTAAAAATTACATACCATTGCACTTAATGTTTTTTTTATACCCGAGCGCACTTGTGCACAAGGGTATTATAACTTTGTTCACATAACGGTTGTTTGTAACAGGCAAAACGAATCGAGATAGATATAGACAAATGTATACATAAATGATCAGAATGAAAAGAGAAGAGAAATCGATTAAGCGGTGACTGTCTGTCCGTCCGTCCGTCCGTCCGTCTGTGCACACGATAACTCGAGTAAAAATTGAGATATCTTAACGAAACTTGGTACGTGAACTTCTTTTTGGCGTGGGACGGATGGTATTGAAAATGGGCGAAATCGGATAATAACCACGCCTACCTCCCATATAACGGTAATTTTGAGAAATACGAAAACTGCGATATTTTAGTAACTACTGAAGATAATTCATTCAAAATTGATACTTTCACTAAGTTTCAGACGGAAAACATGAATATTATAAATTTTTGGAAAATGGGCGTAGCCACGCCCACTTATGGTTACATGTGTATATCTTGGTAACCGCTGCACCAATTTCTTCCACACTTGGCACAGTTGTTGGCCTTAGTACAACATACTAAATTGCTGAAAATTTTAAAAATCGGACAATAACCACGCCTACCTCCCATATAACGGTAATTTTCAGAAAAACGAAAACTGCGATATTTTAGTAACTACTGAAGATAATTCACTAAAAATTGATATTTGCAATGAGTTTTAGACGAAAAATAAGAATATTACAAAATTTTGGCAAATGGGCGTAGCCACGCCCACTTATGGTTACATGTGTATATCTTGGTAACCGCTACACCAATTTCTTCCAAACTTGGCAGAGTTGTTGATCTTGGTACAGCATACCAACTGGCCGAAAATTTCTAAAATCGGACAATAACCACGCCCACATCCCATATAACGGTAATTTCGAGAAATACAAAATCTTCGATAAATCAGTAAATATTGAAGCTAATTTATTCAAAATTGATGATTGCAACAATTCTTTACCAAGAAATACGTTTATGGCAAAATTTTGGAAAATGGGCGTAGCACCGCCCACTTGTGATCACATATATGTATCTCGGTAACCGTTCTACCAATTTGCACCAAACTTGGTACGGTTATTGTGCATGCCACATTAAAGCAAAGCGTTGAAAATTATTGAAATCGGCCTAAAATTGAGGCCGCTTTTCATATAACGGTAAATTTTAGATATGCTTGAAATTTCAATATTTCGAAATTTAAGGGCGCTAATTTACTTAAAATGTATACAACCCGGCTTATCATGTAGCGGTAGCTTTCGGAAAGGTGGAAAACATATATTTAATACTTGCGCCGGGTATTTAATGTTCGGCTCCGCCCGAACTTAGACTTTCTTACTTGTTTTTAATAAATTTTTTCTTTACATGTTTATGTGTTTAAATAATGGAACGATTTTGGTTTTAAACTATGTATACTTCATTAAATGTTGATATTCAAGTATTTATGTAAGTTAACAATTACATCAGTAATTATGTTCGCTTAAGTACCCGCATCGAGGTACTTAAGCGGGTTCTTTTAAGTACCCAACCCGCCTAAGTACCTCAAAAAGGTGACATTTTTCGTGAGGTACTTAAGTGGGTTTTACTGTAATGCAAAGTATACACGGTCCAATTACTTCGCCAAATTCGGCTTTCCAACTGGTCGAGTGGAAGTGTATATGGATGAATGTTCTGTACCTACTAGAGATGGGCACGGGCCTAAATTTTCAAGCCCGGCCCGGGACGAGTGCAAAATCAACTTTCAAAACCACGCACGAGCCCGCACGTTAAGAATTTTAGTGGGGCCCGGCCCGGCCCGGCACGACGGTACACTTCCCAGCCCGGAAATAAAGAGCCAACCTTTATTGTATGTATACATGTGTACATATTTTTAATTTTGTGTTTATGTATGTATATTTACTTAAGCGAATCAATTTTTTACATCAAAGATTTGTATAACATATTTTCTGGGAAGTAGAAAAAGTGGAAAGTATTTTATGTACAGATATGTAAACAAAACTTCTAAGTATCTTATTTTTTCTATCGGTCTCCAAATATTTCTTTTTTGCTTTTCTCTTATCAAAAGAGTTTTAATATGTACTATTTTTTTTTAAACAAAACAAAAGCTTATCTAAATTTATAGTATTAGCAACGGGCTTTTTCGTGCTTATTCGTGTTTTTCTGAAATTTTACTGAACGCCCATGCACGCACGAGTTCGTGCTGACAGCAAATATTCCGGCCCGTACTCGCGGGCCCGTGCCTATCTCTATTACCTACTGACATTTCAGTGCGATTTAAAAGTCACTGGAGTAAAAATTCCTGGAGTGGCCCCCTCAATTTTCACAAAGTAACGAATATTGCAATAAGTATTTGCTTTACCAGTATGCGGTTTTTTTTTAATTAATATTTATGGACGTTATTTTATAATAATTTTTGCAACCAAAGTTTTCATGCGATTTGTATGTAACTTTGTGAGTACGTAAAAAAACTAATTTTGCTAAAAGGCGATAAGAAATTTGTTTAGCAATTTAAATTTGCTCAAACTTTTTTATAAATGTTCGGTTCTTTAATAAAGTTTTTAAAAATTACTCGTTATGATTTTTATCGCTTTTAAGTGTCAAAATGTTCCTAGCAATATTTTTTGCTAATATGCTCCAAAAAATTTTTTGAGCAACCATATAGGTTTTTTGATATTCCATAACGGCTCTAGCCCGTTAACATATCTATTTTAAATTACAGTTAAATCATTAGTTAAACTTTAACTAAAAAAAGATTACACAAAATTTTCTGTGGTCGAGTTTAACTAATGATTAAACTATACTTTAAAATAGATACGTTAACGGCCCTTAGTGAAATTTTTATTTACTACACGGTGTGACAAAATAAAAAATGAAGATATTTTGCATAAATGAATATACCAGCAAATAATCTGCATACTCAAAATTTTGAATACGCCCTCATATTTATACGTATGCCATTTTTTCATTGTCACACGAAAAAAACATAATTGTGTTTTTTTAATAACTTTGGGAAGTTTTCAAATAGAATGTTCATATCAGAGGCAATGGAAGTTGGCGTCAAATATAACATATAACATATCTGTGAAGTTTCAGGAGTTTACCACGAAATTAAAAAAATAGCAGCATGCATAAAATCTATCGCAGCTAGTTTGTAATTTTAAAAATTTTACGATTTATTTTTATTTTAATAATTTAATGTATGTATTTCAAAATGTTA